GTGGCCAAGAGCGCTTGCAGGTGGCAAAGAGCAGAGAAGGCAGGAAGCTTAAATCATGACATCTCTGCTCTTTTAGAGCTTTACAGTTTAGAAACATTGTTTAGAATATTGCAAGTGTGTGGGGAGGTTTTAAAACTCCTTATTATATATACAAATAATAAAATAAACTAATTATACTACTAGTCAAGTCAAGTCACATTTATTTATATATCACATTTAAAACAGTAACTGTTATCAAAGTGCTTACCAAAAAAGATCACAGGATCAAATATTAATAACAAGATATTACAGCAGCATGAATAAAAACATGAAATATAATGAGAAACAATGAAATACTAAATCAAATCACCCTGCGTTAAATGTCAGGGAGTAAAAGTAAAATGGATGAACACAATCATCAACAACGAAATACCATACAATTCCTACTTCACGGTTTTTCACTTATCGCGCGGCTTCAGGGTACGGATCCCCCATGATAAAGGAGGGACTACTATATATATAAAGACATTTTAAACTCTTCCCACTCTCTTGCAATATTCTAAACAATGTTTCTAAACTCTAAATGCTCTAAGAGAGCACAGAATGTCATGCTCTCTGCCACCTGCCACGCCCACTTTTCCACTGCAATCTGCAGGAGGGAGATTCTCCCTGCAGCTGTGGGCTGCAGACAAATGCTAAATAATTTAAAATATATTTTTTTAAATAAACAATCCATGCCAATTGTGTGACTCATCCATCAATCAGCCAATTTGTGTGTCATGTCCAATATTACTTTGAAAAAACGCCAAAGAAACCGCAAAGTAGTGAGGGACTACTGTACGCTGAACTGACATTTGGCGCGTAGGACTCTCTCTTAGAGATAGGGTGAGAAGTTAATTTATCAGGAGAGACTTGGAGTTGGCTTTACGCCAAGATGGCTGCACTCCTGGAAGCAGCAGCTTTGCTGGCTCCCGATGAGATCCCAGTTTTCAGCAATTTTGAAATAGACTCCGAGCCTGACTCCGCATGCTTGTGAATTATAACTGAACCGAATTGATGAGAATAAGAGATGATTTACCACGGAATACAGCAGTGATCAGAAGCTATCTCAAAGCTACGCTCCACAGAATGCAGCTCTTGAACATCAGCGTGGAAGCTTCAGCAGGTGCGTTCAAATGGGAAGAGGAGATGCTGTTTCCGGCTAAAGAAGAGAGGCTGCCGGGCGGGGATGTTAGCAGTGGCGTATTGCCTATAGTGGGTGCTAGCCGCCCCACTTCTCACCACATAACCTTGATTAAAACATAATGAAAATGAAAATATTTCGAAATATATGTATATATTATTTTAGTTGTGTAAGAAATATTTTGTAGTTAATGGGTAAAGTTGTTTCATTCATTGACATTGTCTGATTGCGTATTTCTGCCCTGGGGCACAAAAATCTTTGCCCATTGACTCTCATTAAAGGGCGTACTTGCACAGTTAGCTCCTCTTCAATACAAGATATAGGACTGTTCTGGAGCACATCTCTCCTGCGCTCATAGCTGAATGCATGGTACGAATCGTGCTTCCAGAACAGATTGTGCAGTGACACTCACAACCAGGCTATGTGTAAGAAAGGCTAGGCTAGCTGCTACAGGTAGGCTTTAAGCCATTGAAAGCCCTTTATCTAATGCCTATGTTGCCATTTCTGACTGATATGCCTCTCAACTTTTAGATCAGAGATTCTTTATTGCCATTCGCACCACATGTACTACAAACCAGATTCCAAAAAAGTTGGGACACTAAACAAATTGTGAATAAAAACTGAATGCAATGATGTGGAGATGGCAAATGTCTATTTTATTCATAATATAACATAGATGACAGATCAAAAGTTTAATCTGAGTAAATGTAACAGTTTAAAGGAAAAATATGTTGATTAAAAATTTGGTAAGTGGATCACCAATTCCACCATTGTTGCGCAGAAAGATAGTGCAGCAATACCAGAATGGTGTTATCCAGCATAAAATAGCAAAGACTTTTAAGTTATCATCATCAACCGTGCATAACATCATCAAAAGATTCACATAATCTGGAACAATCGCTGTGCATAAGGGTCAAGGCCGTAAAACTTTACTGGATGCTCGTGATCTCCGGGCCCTTATACGTCACTGCACCTCAAACAGGAATGCCACTGTCAAGGAAATAACAGAATGGGCTCAGGAATACTTCCAGAAAGCATTGTCAGTGAACACAATCCACTGTGCCATCTGCCGTTGCCAGCTGAAACTCTACAGTGCAAAGAGGAAGCCATTTCTAAGCAAGCTCCACAAGCTCAGA